AAAATCACAAGGTTTACACAAACAAACATAACCTAGAAAAACACTGTTTATAAGATATCCAAAATATTTATTATAGAACTGCATCCAGCCACAATTTGGCTTCATATTGAGCCTGGAAATTACGCAGAATATGAATATAAGGTTTTAGTAAAAGCTCTGCTGAACACAGAGACAATGTTCAATGTCCAGTTTAGAAATCTTTGGGGACATTATGTTTTCCAATAAAAGGTTTGGTGAGGCTATTTTCTTTAAATGTCTTCAATAATAAGTTGCAGCTTGTATATTGTGTCCTGTGAATGGAGGGAGATGAACGTACAAAGAGACTGACCTAAGAAAGAAAGAAAAGAAATTAACAACTCAGCACACTACCCCATCACTTAACCTTAGAGATGTCCCTTTTTCAAAAGCTTTCTTTTAGCTTAGTTTTCCCATCTTCTACGTTGAGGCCAAGCAACCTTATCACTTTCCTTTCTCTCGTTTTCTTCCAGCATCCATTTGTGCCATTCCCCAGACTCTCTCATCTTTCATTTGTTGTCTTCAGCACCGTTGTGCTGCCCTGCTGTTAGTGCTGCTGTCAATACCAGTAGGAATCGTCCCTGTTTGCACCAGTCATATTCACACACATGGATGTCAGTGCACTTAAGGAATTTGCAGGATAGCTGTGACACAATAAAACTGATGCAATTTCCTTACTATGTTTCATGCTCTCCTTCACTTTCTCCCTCTTTGCATCTTTTTTTTCTTGGTCCATTTCTCTTCCCTCGTGACATGGGTGTTGAAAAGATCTGGGGCCTCTGGGTGGAGGGCTGCAGGAGGATGTATTTAACTGAAAGCACTGCAGCAATGTGATATAACGGCTGACTGGTCACTCTTAACTCCTTCTGATTGGTGTCAGAAAATTGTCTCCTCAGTGGTCAATAAAGTCATAAATTATGTACAATATTTAAATTTTTAGCCACTATCAGCATGGCTTTAGGGATGGAAATGTCGGTCCACCACTTTGGTCTAGGTTAAAATATATCTAAACAACAATTTTATGAGATGAAATTAAATTTAGTACAGACATCCATGACTCAATGAATCTTAATGATTTTTTTATGTTGCCCCATCCGGAGGTTGACATTTATGATTATGAGAAATGCTTTGGTAATTGTTGGATGAATTGCCATGAAATGTGGTGCAAATGCTCATGTACCCGTAAGGATGAATTGCAATAACACTGTTTATCCCAGTCAGGTAAAAAAAAAATCCATCCAAATATTTATAATATTGGTTTATGACAAAATACCCAAGGAGGTCTGCACAGTACTACAAGACACACCTACTACTACATGCCCTCAAAGCAGTCGCAGTTTGGTTAGGTTTAGGCACAAATACTTCATGGTTAGGTTTAGGAAAACATTACTTTTTGGGTTAAAATAAAGACATGTCTTAGGGTGTGTGTTGTGTAGTAAAGTTGGTTTGTTGTGTAGACTGTGAGACTGCAGATAAACCCTTCTCCATCTGCAGCCTCACCTACACTTTGTTTTGTGTTCATTAGCAATTACCAACAGTTGTAACAGCATGCTAGCAACTAACTGAAATATTGGACATACATGGTATGGTAAGCATTACCTGCTAAACACTATCTTATTTGCATTGTCAGTGTTAGCATGTCTGCATGTGGACATTAGCATTTTGTTCAAAGTAACTACAGCCTGACACAGCAGCTAACGTTGCTGTAGACTCTTGTTTTCTTTGTGTGTCAGCACCAAAAGCCAAGTTCAGTTCAATTTCTCAAAGGGCTATTTCTTTTAGTGCCTCTTATATTTAATGCTTCAAATATTATGCACTCATGTGATGAAACCAATCACAAGCTGGATAGGAAATTCTGCATCATATAAGCTCATGGATTTTAAAGTAGAGGTGCAATTCAATCTGCCATACAAAACAAATCCCTGACAAAAAAAGTATGCCTAACAGACTCAATTTCACCTCCCAGCACTGCTGCTTAATACTGTCCCTCATCCTCCGTGGTGTCTGAGAATTGTTGTGCATCTGCAACCCATGCCTTGCAAGCTGTGCACATCTGAGGTAGTACTGTGGCAAAGAAATGCTTGATCAACTCAGTTTCCTCCTAAAGTCTCATTCTTCTTACCTGCCACCCGTTTCCCATCTCTCTTCTCTTTTATTTCTCACTCTCTCCCAGGGCCTATATGAAGGTGCAGATTTATGGAGCGGCCTAGTCGCTGGTGGCCACAGTCCAGCCTGAACAAGTGATTTGTTCAGAGATTACAGACACAGAAGACAGAGAGAGGAGCATTAATGATGTTATAGACAGATCACTAGGTGTGTGTGTATGAGAAAGAGAGGAAGTAAGAAATAATGTGGGTGTCATTTTGAAAGTGTTGTCTACTTGACAAGAGTTGTCAACCATATTCATTTCTCAGCAGTAGAGACAGTACATCTCTTAATGAGGCATTAACTTTAAATGGTTTCTGGAAAGGGTATCTTTAGCACTCTATTTTTAACAAAAAGTCCTGTTTCAATTGTGTTATAATGACTAATACGTATAACAGTGATCCACAGTGGGCTTTATTTGCAATAAGCAATCACTCAGCACAGCTCTTCATCCCCTAAGTAGAAGAGGCCTTTGAATAAAATAATTGTCTCATGGCTAGTGCTGGGTAGTCAGGCAATTAACATTAACATCTCACTGGATGTTTGTTTTATCACTTTAGGAACTAACCAAGGACACTTCGGAGCCGGCGTCTTCAGTCTCCTCCACCCTGACCTCCAGCCATATGTGGCCTGGTTCGAACAGCAGTGTTGACGGGGCCGTTGGCAGTGTGGGATTGTGCCCCTCCTGCTCTGCTTAATTACCTGCGTGATGGAGTGGTCTCCTCCTCCAGCAGAGCCACTGTGCCACACGGTGTCAGGGGCAGGGCGGATATGTGGAGCTGACCAGTCTCACCTACTTCACCTTTCTCTGTCTCTCTTGTCAGATCATATTAATAAAGAGAGGGTTTTTCTCTTGGTCATGGTGCCACTTGGCAAGCAAACTACTACAATATCAGCTTTATTCCTTTATAATGCAGTAAAAGAAGCATTATTGACTGTCCCAGGCTTCATTAGCAAGACTCTTGGTTGTCTATTGGATTGCACAGAGAACATATCACACAAGCCAGGGTGGAGAATAAAGTGGAAGGCACTGAGAGTCCAAACTGTACCCGCTCAGACTATGCCAGACCACATTAACAGTTGCTGTAGCAACCAGCTCCAAATCAGAGGAGAAAACTCGAACACTTTAAGCAGACTAATTTCTCAAAATGTCCTCATCCACTCATCTCTCTCCTCCTTGTCTACCTCTAAAGGTAATGTGGAATATTTTTGAACACACTGAATTCATAGAATCAAACGTGGTATAACTGTGGACATTCAGCAGTTATTTAGGGGAGAGGCATACATTCGGAAATCTGGCTTGTTTTCAACTATATCTTCATTAAAATTCAATACATGACTCATAAAAACAAAGTGACATTGGGAGCTGAACTCAGGCCTTTCTTTCAGAGTTGCATAAATATAGAAATTTTAGAAGAGTTGTTTTCATGCCTAGTGATGCCAACTGATGAAGATCTTTTTTTTTATCAGAAAGTTCACCAGTAAGGAAAAGGCATGAAAATGTTTAATCTGAAAAGTATAGCTGTTGCTATTTAGTAGAGTAAAAGTACAATCTTTTCATCTCAGATGTAGTGGAGTAGAAGTCTAAAGTTTTATAAAATGGAAATATTCAAGTAAAGTGCAAGTATCTGCAATGTGTACTTAAGTACAGTACTAGAGTAAATGTACCTACAGTTAATTCCTACCACTAGAAATAATTGAGGCAACTCATTTCTCTGCTTCCTAAGATCAATATTACTCCACAATATGGAGGGTAAAATTTTGGTCAGTCATCAACATAACTTTTAAGCATTTACAAATCCAGTCTCCCCTATAAACACTTTAATCAGCTATGCTAATATATTCATGAATGATGAGGCAAGCAGCTGTCTGAACAGAGGCTCCCAGTGCGTCTGAGGTGGTGTGTGGGGGTTTGCTCAGGTGAACAGGGCTGTGCCTGTGGAGACACTTATCACCCACAGCAGAAACAGTCTCATGCATGCCCAGAATCCTCAATGACATTAGAGTGGCGGAGTTTAAACAAGAGGGCCGGCTTTAGATGCAACTGAAAATAAGAACCTTCGTTTTGTAGACTTTGTATGCTTTTAGTGATCTATGATGCTTGTAAATATGTTTGTGTGTAGGTAGATTGTCTCCATGTATTGAAAATGCATCTGGTATTTTTTTCCCTCATCAAATGTTTAAATTGCTTTTGTTTAATGTATTGCTGCATATCATTACTGAAATGATTCACAATGTCCAAGTCACCTCACCAGTCAGCAGACACACGTGACACAACAGGCCTAACCGACCGACCTGTGACACAATAAGACACAAAGAGGGAAGTGAAAGCATTCTGTCTAGATCATACACAGGTATTCACATGAAGAAACAATTGGTTACTTAAAAAGAAACAGCATTATACAGTCAAATGTTTTTCATACACAGTTAATTTTACTGGAATGTGTTGTAAAGCAGCACTGACTGGTTTCAGCTGAAAGAGATCTCAGTCTCACACCTTTTGTAAGACCCTTCTCCATTACCGACTTCTCTTCCTCCTAATTTGCTATTACTGTTGCATCTTGTCAGCATTATTTACCTGAACATGCTGTATCTGGGCATCTGTGATGGGCATCACTTCATAAATGTAAACTCCTCAGTGCTCTAGAAATACTCACACTTTCACCCACTTAAGCTCGTGTGTGCAAACATTAACTGTATGCATGTGGATGGCACTATAATGTAAGCTGTTCTGTGGTTAACAGAATCATACATTTCTTAATCCCCTCATAGGTGAGCTTTACGTCACTGTCTGTGTGTGTTTGAACCATCACATCCTGATCTCAAACTGAGCGGCGGTGCAACATCCTGCCAGCAAACCGCGGTTTTTTCCTGCTGTAGTTACTGTAGCTGGCCGACTTGACCTGACCAGGTATAATCCACAAAGTCATAGTTGCTTTCGTCGACAAGGTCTCGACCGATTGCTTCATCTGTCTCCGTCCTCTCTAGGGCTCATCCGCTTGCGCGACAGAAGCCACAGCGCGCTGTCCAAACCGGGCATTAGAAGAAGTGAATAATGCGGTGAGAGAGCATTGTGGGAGGACTCTGTGGACGACAAGCAGTCCACTTAGAGATAGAGAGGCGAACAAAATCGCACGGAGACGCTCAAGCACGACTCCAGCAAAGGAATCTCGACTTGTTTACCCTGTACCGGGCACAGAGGAGCACCGTTGCGCAGTCTTTACGCACAACCAGAGAGCGGACCTGGGGGGCGTCTGTCGCCACCATGTCAGCGGCAACAGCTTCAATAGCAGATGTCTCCAGGACTGAATTTAAAAACAGAGATGACAGCCGTGACCGGAATAAAGCAGGTAAGACCGAGGAAATAACAAAGCAAACGGTGTCTAATTCGTACTCGAGTTGAACGTGTAGGATGTGTGTGGGACGGAGGTTTGTTTTTGGCACTTTGCACTTATTCCAGTTCTATTCTTAACATTAATGCTTTTTTTGGGGGGGGGGGATTATACATTTTTATTCAATCACTGACCCCTAAAAATTATCAGTACAACATTTAGATCTAATGTGTGTAGGCTCTTAATGCGAGACCTATATTTCCGCTGGTGCATGGTCCCTTTGGGGGCTTACAGTGCTTGTTAGTCAAGATATGTCATGTGTGGCATTTGTAGATTGTGTTTTATTGTTGGGTGAGAAATATAAATCCACTTATATATTGATAAATACATTTTACATCATACAATAGGTGTCACGTGGGAACACTGAATGAACTTCATGCCCACCTCTCTAAAAGATCTCATAATTTGTGTCTATTTTTAAATAGCAAAAAACAAAGAGGAAGTGGAAAAGGGTGGCAACTCCTTGCACCGATGCACAGCTGGGCGCCTCGCACACTTACGCAGCCACACACACACGCACACACACGTTATATAAAAGTGATGCTCTCTACTTATCGGCAATGAAGTGCGTCCTTGTGTTACATAAACTTGAATATGATGAGCTGATGCTAATGGCGTTCAGGGGAGTATTTATCCCCGTTGAGTCTGACCCAGTAACGTTGTAAAATTTGATCTGAAGTGAGTATAATTCTTTAAAAATCACCATACCTTTCTTTCTGTCGCGAAACCACAAACTTTTGGTGTGATTTGACGCCCCTTGTGGTGATAAACATGCGTCACATGTTTTCACCAGAAGTGCATCTATAAAATGATTTCCCTTAATTTTAGTAGTTACAAAGAACAATGCAAAACGTCTCTTTTGACACGTCCCATTGTTTTAAAGTGAAAACCAGAAGAAGGTTTCCCCCAGCAGATAAGCTGGTTTAGACTTTTCTTGGTCCTGATCACGTTATCCTTCCCAATTCTGTTGGAATATCACTGAACTGATGTCATTGTGTTTATTTCCATTCCAGCAGCTTGTGTCATGATGAAGTGATACTGTTATGTTGTAGGGTTATCGTGGCAGACTGCTGGCGTACTGAGATGACACAGTGAGAGACCTTCCCTCCTGTAATACGCTGAGCACTGTGTTGTGCTGTATGATAGCCCTTTTTTCGAGCATGGCTCCAGATGGCCTGTGTGTTTCCACCAGCCTCGCAGGCCTTTTGTTTAATGATTTATCACATTTCCTGCTTCGATACTGTTAGAATTCGATGCAGCTCAGCACCCGGCTGTTACGGGGGGGGGCCAGTGTTTTGTCACGCAGAGTTGTGCAGCCCTACAGGGGTTCAGGGCTGATAGCTGTGGAATGACTGTCCCATTCCACACTGAATCTCATCTGCAGCGCTCCAATCTTTTTTGCTGTTCACACTGTTCACCCCAAATTGTTTTTGTGCTACTTTTGAATTTTAAGTTGTCTGATCATCTTTGAGAAAACAAAATTCTTTTGAAGATACATGAATTATACATGTGTTCAAACTTTGGGGGAACGTTTGGTGATTTATGCACTTCTAACATCTGCAACATAATTAAGACACAACCAGTGACAGTCAGATGTTTTTCTTTTAGGTCCGTCACAGACTCAGTGCACACCCAGGCCTCTTCCAGCCCTGGGCACCCAGAGGATTATCCAGGGCAACGGTACCAATGTGGGCACAGTCATTTCCCTGCAGTGCCCAGCCAAACACAAACTGGTCGGTAGTGAGCTGATTTGCGTCATGGGCACCAACAGCACCCACTGGGTGGGGGAGACCTACTGTAAACGTAAGTAGAAACAGAAACTTAGACATGACAGTTAATATAGAAAGAATGGCAGTCATTGCAGGAGTAGCTCCTGGCCTGGGGGATATTACTTTATGAACTTATGCATACACTGAAATGTGTTTGTGTGCAGATTAAATGTTCCTGATGCTTTTACTGGGAGAATTGCAGTGGCTGCAAAACTTGCCCTGAACTGTCTGTCAGCTCATTATTCTGAAGAGATGGAATATATATTAAACATTATGTGATAGGCATTGTGGCTATGGGCAATGTTACATGAATACACTTAAGGTATTAGTTGGCTTGCACTAATTAAACCTCTAAATTATGTGAAAACACATTTGAGAGAAAATAATTTGTTGCTTGGGGATAAAGCTTATTTAAGGAGAATATTAATGCTAATGCAGGTAGAGGGGAATGATTACAAGCAGGTGCAGAGTTAGTCATTCTTTTGGTGAGTGAGTGAGTGGAAAAAGTGAGAGTACCATCTTAATTATGTTTCAGGATCAATCATCATGGGAGAGAAGAAACTGTCCTCTGTGAAACTGAAAGAAATGAAAATGGAATTTGTGTTTTATTGTCCTTTCCATGATGAGCTGACTTTATTGATGACTTTATTTCCACCAATCTCCTCTGGTTAAATGATAAATGAATAATGAATAATGAAAGATGTGTGATATGGCAGTCTATGTGACAGACTTTATCTAGAAAGCCTGAGCATGGTGGCAGTGTTTTTGTGGCACTCGAGTTTGATTAGGAATTGTTATACACAGATTTTGCAGGTTGATGAATGCTGTTGTCTAACGCGTTGAGCGCATTACATGGAAATAAATCAGTCAATAGTCTTCTTCTCTCACACTCCAGCTCTGGCTCCCTATGAGGACTATGGTTTCCGTGTGGCTGTGCTGGCATCCATTGTAAGCTCAGCTATTATCTTACTCATGTCCATGGCCTTCATCACCTGCTGTTTGCTCGACTGCATCAAAGAGGACAAAAGAAAAAAGGAGGAAAGGTGAGTAAGAAACAAACAGCGGTGGAAGAAGTACTCGGATCGTTTACTTAGTACCACAATGTAAAAGTACTCCATTATAAATAAATGTCCTTCATTTAAAAGCCTCCCAAAAGGTGGCCTGTTGGGTTGTCTTGTAAACAAACAAACGTTATGCATATATTCATAATGTTACTCCCGAAAATGGATTGTGTGCATCCTTTAGCTCTAACAAATGTGTTGAATGCATAATTTCCTTCCTTATAAAATATTTGCAAAGCCAGTTTTTAAGTATTTTAAATTCAGTATTGTTAACATCTGTCTTTATGTATGCATGCTTGTTTAGAGAGGAGATGTCTCTTTGATGGAAGAAAAATCCCATAGACATCTGAAATGTGTCAAGGACAAACAAACTACTAGTTTAATGTTGAACAATATTTTATATTAAATATGTAGTTATTGTGTTTGTAATCAAAAAATCTGTAAAAACTAATAACTATAGCTGTCAAATAAATGTAGCGGGATAAAAACTACAACATTCCTCTCTGAAATATAACAGCAGTACCTCAAAACTGTACTTAAGTACAGTACTTGATTAAATAAACTTAGTTACTTTCCGTCACTGAAGGAAAAGGATGGAGAGAAACAAAGAAGAGAGTTATCCTGTGATGCATTTATAAACTGAAATACTGACGTACAGGTTTACATTGATTTCTTTGAACAGGGAGTCAGACGTGTGGCAGTGGGAGGAGCAGGCCCAACATCAGGAGGACAACAGGTCTCGATACAGCCATAAGGGCAGGAACAACAACAACAACAACACCCAAGATAAGGGGCTTTCACCGTGGGACACCGGTAACCCAGCCATGTGCGACAACATGCGAGCCTGCAGGTGAGATCTTGGCTGAAACAGTCAAAAATTAACAAATAAATAAAAATAAAAATGTCCCTGAAGGCATACAAACCAGCGGAAACATTTCTTTTCTTCACTCCACAGATGTCATCAGCAGTACGCCTATGGTCCTGCCCACACATATGGCCCCACTCCTCCGCTTTCTTCTCTCCCCGGCTATGACTATGAGCAACCTCTCTTACCCCGAAACCCAGAATCTGCACAAATCTCCGGTCCGCCACCACAGTACTTCGGACCTCCTCAGTCTTCCTGTCAAAGTACGAGCCCAGGCCTGGTCCACATCTCAGGGCCAGGTTTAGTGTGGCAGTATGGAGGACAGCAGAGCAGTTTGTCGGGAGTGAACCCATCAACCACAGATGAGTCCACCACAAAGAATATAAACCCTGCCAAAGAATTTTCCATACGGATTATATCAGTGTGAGGACACATTGCACAGGAGGTGAATACCATCAGTACTAACCAAATATGTACAACAGCGTCGCCTGTATCGATGAGGACTAGGGGAAGAAATTACTGAACATTCCTGGTCTTGTTGAAACGTTCGTGTCTGCAGTTCTACAGAGTATGAAGGCTATATGGGCATACTGATCTGACAGACTTATGTGCCTTTTGTAAACTATAATGGCACACTGCCCTCTGTCTGAAAAGGGGAGCCATTGCACTTTCAGGACACCAGCCTTGTTGGACGACACTCCCTGTAATTAGAAGTTCAAGATACTTTCATGTCCTTAATTGAGCTTTTCAGAAACCAACTAAATCGTTATGTTGTGGTTAAAGTTAATAGTTAAGGTGTTTAAAAGGATATAGTTCACAACACATTGTAGGCAGCTGAGGAAGTTGTCTGAGAAACTCATCTCAGGGCAGTTTGTTGGACGGGGTAGAGCAGCTGGAAAGCAGCCAGTATGTAAATATCTTTTTTTTTTTTTAAAAAAGAATGTAAATAAATAAAAGACTTCTACTGATGACGAGTGAGACTGCATTGCAATGGACGAATGCAAATGTTTACAAGCCAACATGATAAGGCAGCAGTACAGTGATTTTGACTGGATGTGTAATGATGGAGCTTACATGCAAGTGGCATGGCAAACAATGTATTAATGACTAATAATAATAAGTTAAATGTATTATTATGATTATTATGATCATTATTATTATTATTATTATTATTATGATTATGATTATTATTATTATTATTATTATTATTATTATTGCCAGGTCTCTAATGGAAGTGTGTGTGGAGAGAAAAGGAACAACTCAGTGGGAAACGAAAATGGAATGGCATAGAAAGATTTTAAAAGGATAAAGATGAAAAAAAAGGAGAGTAAGTAGATAATGGGAATGGAAAGTGTTTATAAAATTTTGGACTGGTTAACTGTAAGATGATATTGACACAAACAATATAAAGTGTACATGTCTCGGACTGAGATAAAATTTTATTATAGCAGTGGGCACAACGTATACGCCCCCCATCGCCAAAAAGGTATACCCCACCCCTCGATATTAAAAACTGATGTAAAGAATAGAATTAAGACTGTTGTTAAGACAATTAAAATAGAAAAAAAGTATTTCATTCAAAATGGGATGAAATAATTTACAAATAATATAATTGTATCATCGGCAATGAATTTAATCATAAATGAACAAGATGTGGAAAGAAAATTATTTAAAAAGAAAAATGAAAAATTTTTCATATGCGTCCTCCTTGGCCTATAACTAGTGTGTGAAACGATTTTCGCCTGGACTGCAATAGTAAATTCCTTGGAGGAGGTGAAAAAGTAATAGTAAAGGTATTATGGAACACACGGGGAGGAAAAAAATTACTTTTTTCAAAATATTACACGATGAAGAAAGGGTAACAGAAGAAGATAATAAGACAAATTTATAAACAAGCAGCTCGAGAGGTAAAAAAGGCACACGCTCGGGATGGAAAAGATAAGTGTCATGGTGGGTGTCGGGTAGGGGAGAAAGTGAAAAATGACAATTAGATGTGCATCGAGTGGATGAAGTGACTATTTCACATAGGACATTTTAATCTCATGAAGGCTTATGTGTAAGGTACCATTCGAGACTTGAATAGGAGAAAGCTGGTTTATTTTTTTGTTTTAGTTGCTTAAGCTATCCTGGTTGCGTACTACGAGAGTGTGACAAGAAAGAGAGGCAAAGTTTGTTTAGCATCAAACAAAACAGGGAGGTACGTACACAGTTCAGGATTATGAAAGAAAATAGAAATTGCCTCGTGGATAATATTGAACGATTGTTTTTAAAAAAACTTTGTTGTATCAAATTGATGTTGTGAAGGGAGTAAAGAATCGAAGACATGAAAGGAAGGAGATGAAGGTTAAACACCACAAAGGCAGGACGAAGGAAGTGCAATGAGTGATAAGAGTGATGAAAGGAATATGGAAATTAGAGGTCTGTAAAATGCAATCTCGTTTATGTTGTCATGTTTTTTTTTGACACAATCGAGGACTTTTTCAGGTATCCTGTAACTACTTCTGACCAAATTCAGAATTAAGCAAAACAAAGTTAGAGCCGTTAAGTGATGATTTTTCGAGATTCTTACTGCTGTCATTGTAAATTTCTGTGCCACTCTCTGTGTTTATGAGCAGATCTCTTACCGTTTTGTTTTTATTATTAAATAACTTTATTGATTTTTATGTGAGAAGAATTTCGAACCACTGCGATTTTTAACGTGTGTTATTATACTCAGGGCTTGATTCAGTTTTATATCGCGGTCTCACAATCGTTCGGTAATTGATTATTTAAATAAAAGTTCATCCAAAAGATAGAGTTGTCGTAGTTTATTGTAAAGAAAGAAGTCATTAAACTGATACACTTTACAGTGATTGAATTGAATAAAATATCAGTTTACACCACACTCGCATCTCAGGCAATCTAAATAAATGACATTGAACGGGGAAGATCCACTGATGTAAGCAGTTATTTAGCAAGTTAGGAATTCACTGCTCCTATAACACGAATAGAAAAGAGGTGTGTATGACATAACCGTATTTATAATTCAATGCTGGATGAACTGTTGTTCCAAGCAGGGTGTGCTGTATATAGGCAGGCGGCTGGTGGACTTAACAATTACCTGGAGATGAGAAGAAGTGTTTAGTTTATTTTAACATTCCGCATTTTAAGTGGGAATGAAACAACAAAGATGGTAAGGGAATGGCATCTATGGATCAGTCTGCATATGAGTTCATGTGGAAAAAGGAGATGGATAGTATATCCAATTAACTGTGGTTAACATTAAAATACAGATGAGTTTGAAACACAGAGTCTGACTAGTGTATTTAATAAATAGAAAAAAGAAATAAAAAAGGAGGTCTCTCCTTTGCCAATTAAAAATGTTCCCCACTTTTTTTTGTCTTCTTTCTGTCTTCTCAGGCCTCTCTCGGGCCGATGAGTGCCCTGTTCTTCCCCTCCTCTTTTTTTTTCGGCTACCGGGGTTGGTTTCTCATGGGTCGCGCTCACCCCCTTTTTGTTGGTTTGTTCTCCCCTTGATCCTCCCTCAGGGTCTGGGTTCTCCCCTCCTGCGCTGGGCTGAGCCACAAAAAAAATACATGGACATACAAATCCAAACAAAAACAAACAATAAACGCACTGAAAATACTTACTGAGATCGGTGGTGTATGATTGGCGGAGGGTTCAACAGGCTCGACGCAGCAAGTATGTCTCACGAAAATCCGTTGAGTGAAAATGAACAACCCAGGATTTTAGATTAACAGAAAAGATGGAACTAACAGAGGAAGATGTTGTTCGTTTACTTGTTTGTGCCTTTAATTGGAACAATTGTTACTTTTCCACTTTGTACCCTGATTCCAGTTTACCGTTTTCCAGTGTAAGTGCCCATACTGGTGCCTGGTCACACACCGGATGTTGTTTTAACTTGTGACTGCCCGGCGACACCACGGTTGTCTCCTCTCTAATACTCCGTATTCTGCTCAAAAACACCGTCCGCCCATCTCCTGTGGCGTTTCGCTGGTCCCTTGATTTGGTCCTTGGTGGGTACGTTCTTTCTCCTCCTGCCCATTCCTGTCCACCCTTTTCAGTGTCCTTTTTTGCCTCCTGATCGACGCCCGCATGTGGCGTTCCTCCTTGCCCGGCTCCTGGTGCTCGCCCTGCCTCGATCATCTTGTTGAACGCCCAGGTTGTCTCACTCCCATCGTGCCCCCCGCATCTCCTATCCTACCGCGTGGTCTCTCATTCCTTTCTCCCCTTCTTCCTTTCTTCTACGTCCTTAGTGATTCCTCTGATTCCCCTCCGATTCAGTCTGCCAAGTTTCTATCCTGCCCTACATGTGCCGCAGTCCGTCACGTCCCCGCGTTCTTTCCCTACTATCTTTTGACCACCAGCCTCTCCAGTCTCTACACTTTGTCCTTGGCTGCCTGCTACTTGTCTTTTCATTCTGTTTGCCACCACTGTGGCGGTCTCGTAGTTCTCTCCGCTGGTCCGGGCACTCCGTCCTTTCTGCGCCCATACTGTACTCACCTGAGTTTCTTGCTCACGTTTTCGCTATCACGCTTGGCCTTCCTCGCGTCTTCCTGCGCTGGCGCTGCCACTGCGCACGCTGCCATTACGTTCACCCTGCGAGTTACCTCCCACCCACAAACGCCTGGTATATCTTAATGGCGCCCCCCGACAGTTGAGTGCGAACACCTGGACAGGTCCTTCGCGCGTGTGCTCTACATCACCAGCTGGTCCCACTTAAGGCCCACCAGCTGCATGCTCAACGTTTTGTTCGACTGTCAACTCTCTTACATTCTCATAGTTTTCCATCGTGCTCACCTTTTCTTGGCATTTGCGGTCCTCTTCATTACTCCTCTGGCATTGCTGCCTCCGACCAGCACCAATTCTGTCCAAACGCTCGCCCGTCCCCCTGGTTGACTTCTTGCGTAACCGGCCCGCCACCACACCTACACACATCCGTCCTGCCCCCCTCCGCCTTGCTGCTCTTCCCCCGCCCACAACGGCGCTCTGCACCCACACCGCGCAACACCACCTCCGCCTCTGCGCAACACTCACCCAAGGGTACTCGTGCATTGCTCTCTTCTGCACATGTGCACTTCGTGTTTGTGTCTCGTCCTTAGGTTTCTGCCCATTTTGTACCCCTTCACCCGTCACTTGTCCTTCCCGCTTCCATCCACGCCGCACATGCCCCCCAGGACCTCACACACCTGTCACGTCCCCGCAACGCCCCAACTCCTTCAGTGAAGTCATCACTCTGGCTTTGTGCTCCCCTCTCTCCACACTCAGGGGGGGGGGGGGCGGGGGGGGTTCTCTTTTTCCTGGTGTGCACCGTTCAGTTCTGTCTTTTTCCCCCTCCTTAACACACCCATGAAGTCAGAACGTCTCTGCTACTCACCCCGATTCATCACCAACTGTGATTTACATGCCAAAGGCTTCTTTCTGATGTTCACATAGATTTGAATCGTGACACATCATCATATATATATTAATAGATCTTGGATATTCATAACAACGAATGGCAGTCAAATTTAGATTTATTACAGAGATGTAAATAGCAGCGTCTATCACAAAACTCGTCTGTTATTTATAGTCTTGTGATATCTTGGACAGAATATTCAGCTGCTTCAAGTGTTGTTAACGAACTAAGATTCATTCACATGAACCAAATTCAAGTGTATTATGTTAATAATAACATATTGCAATAGCACGACTAATACTTAAAAAGTTGTGCAACAAGTGGTGAGCCCTCACAGCACATGGGCGAGTCAGCGATCCTGTGTATCCTAGAGTCCGGACGCAGGGATTAGCCCTAGTGTCAAATCAATCTTAATCAAAAACAAAAACATCTTACCCTCTGATTCACAAAGCCTGTCATACTGACAACAAACGACGTGCGTGGGACTTGCTCTTCCGACCGACAACCTCCCCGGTGAAACTTCCTGTTCTC